TGGAAGCACTTTGTGTTGACTTCGTGATCAAAGATTTAACTATAACCTGTGTATCCATCTATTTTAATACCAACATATTTAGATACATAACAACTGAGTGTCAAACTTTTTTTAGTTTAATTAACGTCTTACACCATTTAAAGACTCAACACTTGTCCAACGAGTATATAGTTTCTGTACCAGCTGTACCGAAGAACGAGAAATAAAAGTACTACAAATCCTAATATAGAAATTTGAGTGACTGTCTTAGCATGAATTCTAGTAATAATTTGGGTTCAGGATGTCTTTCAGTAAGGATTGCTGTATCATTGTTTAATATATTGCATGAAATAACCCAATACGGTATATAAAGTTATACTTGTAAATATTTACTTATCATATCTGCAATGCGAGGTACTAGTCATATATGTCATTAGTTGTGTGTTCTTCATTCTGAGGTAATGAACACACACTTCTCTGATCATTAATCATAATATTTAATTTATGGTTTAACCAGATGGGCCAATTATTCTACTATGGTCTGTTATTTACAAAGTTAAGAAAAAGCTGAATCACTATATGCTAAAATAAATCTTGATAACAGTGTACGCAGGTGAATTCTCGTTTGTGTATGTGGCATATTTTAACTTTTCCCAACGTGTTATGCAGTAGAAGCTTAGCCGGTTAGAAAATAAATTTTCATTACACAATAAATAGATATCAAAACAATCTGCATATCAAAAGTTTATGAAATACAACTTACCTGAAACATAGATGGTAATTTATAATTATGTTTAAAAAATAATTAATCATTGACCAACTGATAAATGACATACTGAAGTGAGTCAGTGAAGCTGTTTCCAGTTGTTTAAGAATCAGCATCTCATCAAATGACAATTAGTAATCAGCTGTTAAAAATTCAGCCATTAACCATGAAAAGATCAGTGCAAAGCTCTTTTACTCATGAAATTTCCGGACCAATTATCAAAACATTTTCATAGTAAACCAAAAGAAACCAGAAAGGACTCGAAAAAACTTCCTAACAACTAGTAATGCTACAGTGTCATATATTTTGAATATTTCCTTAGGCTAAATTTTAATTATTCAAATATTATTGTGCGCCTTAGGTCAAAGATCAGTCTGCTTCAACCAGTATTGAGTATTCGTAATGAACAACTGTGAACGCCATCAGTGTTGTACGATCGTCCATATTTTTCATATTTTAGCTTTCGACAAAAGTTTCAGATTTTTATTAAAATACTGTTAGGACTATCTGCTTGAAGAAGTATATTATTATGCAGATTATTTTGTCCATAGTTTAGTAATTTTAGAAGCCATTCACTTCGTTATAACGAAACTATACCGTTCTATGTCAACTGCTATTCTAAAACACTTCTTTTTCCTGTGTGTTCAAATTGTCCAGTGTTATGAAGTATCTAATATATTCCCAGTGCCTGATAAAATTATGAAGAACGCAGCTACATGGTTTCATTATCAAATGGGACAGTATTATTACTGGAGGCTAAAAGTTTTTCTGAACTACTACCATTATATTTCAGAAATAGTAGGATTCACAGTAAAGATTCCGCTTATATTTCCTAAGTTATTCTGTGCAAAAGAGTTTATTTGCTGAGTGCTAATAATTTTTTTGATCATCTGTGTTTAGCTTTACAAGTGAAATTTCTTCGGTGGTCTTTTATTCCCTTTAGAAGTTCAGATTTTTCGAAGACAAGAGTGGCTGCAATTTGTTGAGTCTTTACACCACTTATTAATTATACTCACTTCGCCACTACTCAAGCACTTATAAGTGTTTCAGTTATATGTTGACATTATGGTGAAAAAATTACTAAAAGTGAGTTAATTTAGTTTCGTCTAATTATCAAAAACTATCATTGGACTAAATAATCAAGCAGGACAATCATCAACGTTAGGAAAAACAAATAAGCCTTTTACAAAAATTACTTTAAGTGAAACTGAAAGCTGCGTAAAGAAATTAGATTTAACGGGGCCGTAACTGTGTTAACCGTTGCACCGTTAGTGACAGAAGATCAGACGCATTCAAATACAACCAACAAGCAGAATCAAATTTCGTCTCACTCATGAATAGTGAAAAATTTCCAGATCTGTCGAACTATGGTATGCAGACTGCTCAAAGTGTTAGTCGACTGCTAGTGGCCATCACTAAACAAAATGGTTAGATGCTCCCGATGCATTTACCCTACATCGTATCCCATCTGTGGGGAATATTCTTCAACTCTGTTTTTTCCTCTCTGAGTAGAATAACTAATTTTGGTGTTCCACTCATGGATTGGTTTCTGAATACTTTGAATCTGAACTGCAGGAAAACGCATATGAATAGATAGTTTTCTAGATATATGCACCCAAATAACATCCTCAGTAGGTTTTTATCTAGACTGAAGAATAGTTCAAACACTTCTTTGTAATAGAAGTGGTGGAAGCAGCAGAAACGTCTCAAATTTCTGAGGAAACAATTATGTAAAAAAGTATTGAAATGCATATACTTTATCACAAATGCAATTTCTGTATAAATAAAATAAAATTCGATATGTGAAGGAAAAAAGGAAAACAAAATCTCAATCTATTTCTCTTAGTAATAAAGATGCAACGATAAACCTGTAGTTCACAAACCGAAATAGACCGAAAATCTTTAATCTTGCATCAATTACTCTGGTTATCTATGTTATCCATCGCAACAGTGGTACGTCAGTCAGTTATCTGAAACTGAAGAGATTTCAAAGTTATAATCACTTAGTTAAGGAGCTGTGGAATGATCTTATATGTTTGGGAATGCTCACCAAGTAGACAGAGACATATATCATCTTTCCTTAAATTTATAAGAGTAGATGTTTTTTCATCTAGTATATGAGAAATTGGTAGCAGTCCAATAGGTCACGTATAAAATGAATGCCTTTAATTGTATGCTCATTGTTGAAAGACTGGTGTTTCTGTTGTATCAAAACATTTGGAAACGTAGAAAAAGGGTTCACTGATGTTTATTTTCATTCATCTACAATAAACAAAACTTCGAAATTCCTAAATTGATTTCATCAATATGCACATGAGCTTTCAAACTTGACCTTTAAGATGAATTTCCACAGGACAGTATGTGTCCTCCTAACGCAAAGCACAGTAGCTTGTTTTGCCAAGAAATAAGAGTAACCTGATTACTTCAAGTTATCGTTACTTTGCGGATGATGATTTCCCCACCATATATGTAGAATTTTATTGACAAGCATTCAACCTACAGCTAGGAATATACAACAGTTATGAAAATTTTTTATTACCAACTATTCTATGCATTTATTTCTTCTACAGTTGCTGATGCGAATCTATTGACAACAGGTTAAGTTACTTTCCTAATTCATTACATTCAATATTATCTAGAATACTGAGGTTCTAAATTTGTGTAGGCAGTTCCATTATCAGATTACACTTGATAACCAAAGCTAGGGGTAGATGAATATAAAGAAAACACTCTTTTTTCTCATGAACGCTACTTAATAAAAATATTCATATTGTGATAATAAAACTTCAGTGTGTTTGAGAGTAAAATAATGTCTCTACTGACTGCTTGTACTACTTCCTGTAGTAAGTCGTCCTACTTCTATCAGCTTACAAAACAGCCCAACCGTCAATCAATGTCATCTGTGAGTATTCATCTCACTCCCACCATGGTTGTCCCCAAAGCCGTGCCTTCTTATTAGTCCCTCCAAAATTTATCTCGAAGCATTTCATTAATCAGCACGATGACCCAACAATCCTGGACTTGATCCCTGTTGGAATAGCTGGTGCGTACTAATGAGGAGCCCCATAATAGGATGAAACAACTGCTGAGTGCTTCTAAGGTTTTACTAGCTCCTCAGATGATTTCCATCCTCTTTCGTTCAGTTGCATTACATAAGAAAATACGTAAACCTAGTGCAATAAAACAGACAATAAAAGGCGTAAAAGTCTTTCGAAATGCAATTGGTTCTCAAACTGTTAATATGAAACCAGTTTTTTTATTTATATTGGTCAAATGACATACAAATGTATTCCTTTGAAGAAAGAAATTTACATAGCATGCATTTACTTCCCCTCACAAGTTTGAAGAAAGCAAAAACAAAGACATTTGCAGAATAAAATGAGCTCCTTTTATTTCATGGACTTTCATCAGCTGCAAACAGCCCACAGTCGAAATGAATTATTCGTAGTAAGAATAACACAACATACTTTAAACACGTAGAAATAAATGGAGATTGGAAATCCAGGATTAACAATAATGTGGTGAGTCAAGGAATCACAGGATTAGTAGTTACAAATCCTAGTCAAAGTCTATGGCTGTTTGAACCTGATGAGATAGAAAATTCTGGAGCTGTGGAGTGGGGGGACATCAAATGGAAATCAGTGTGAAAGAAGGGACTGTTTAAGGGCTAACAGATTATGTAACTACATTAAAACTTGAAAATCGTAAACTGAATAATATTCGGTATTTAATGAAGAGATGATGCAATCAAAAGAAAAGGGAAGACTGTACACTAGCATGTGCAAAAAAGTATATACTTTTTCAAGTTTTTCACGAAATTACGCAACAAGTTAACCCTTAAACAGTCCCTTCTTTCACACTGATTTCCATTTGATGTCCCCCCACTCCACAGCTCCAGAACTTTCTATCTCATCAGGTTCAAACAGCCATAGACTTTGACTAGGATTTGTAACTACTAATCCTGTAATTCCTTGACTCACCACATTATTGTTAATCCTGGATTTCCAATCTCCATTTATTTCTACGTGTTTAAAGTATGTTGTGTTATTCTTACTACGAATAATTCATTTCGACTGTGGGCTGTTTGCAGCTGATGAAAGTTCATGAAATAAAAGGAGCTCATTTTATTCTGCAAATGTCTTTGTTTTTACTTTCTTCAAATGAAACTTATAACTTGTTATAATCCACTGCACACCCAACAGTTCTCAAGTATCAGCTGAAAATATGTAGTTAAAAATTATTATTCTTTTTTTAGGAAACACCGCAATTGCTGACAATTCTCTGGACAATAGTGGTCAGGTCATGGGAAGTTCCTCTCATTGTTATCTTCAGCAGCATCATCATCATCAACAGCAACATGGAGTTTTACCAGCCAACATAAGAAATGCATTGCCTTCTGGTTCATTTGCTCTATCATCTGGAACTGGTTCGTGTGCAAGTGCCGTACCAATATCACATTGTTTAGGAACAATGGATATTTCTTTGCTTAACTCAAATAAATCCAATTATTGTACTCATGCATCACAAAGGCAAACAGTTAAAACAAGGCCAACAAATATTGGAATACCTGATTTTTGATTCATATGCAAAGTTTAACTGATGTTCAGTGTAATATTTTGTATCACTCGCTTAGTGATACATTTGGTTAAATTATCTGTAAATAATTCAGTTATGAAACAGGTTGCTACTTTTACAGGAAACTTTATGGACAAAAAGCGAAAACACTGAACATACCACCATAAAAACATTACTCCCAATGCCTTTTCATACTTAAAACGTTTGACATTGAACAGACTAGTTATGTGATTTTATAGTCATTTTATAAATGGCTGCTTTTTCAACTACTTATTTGGTTTTACCTGTTCTCGAACCCAAGTATGACAAACCTTTCTAAACATACATGAAAATGCACTCCATACTACTTTTTGTACATAGATAGTCCTAGTACTGGTTTCGGTCAGTTTTTCCTATGGACTAGGATTTCAGTCATTTTTCAGTGACCAATGCTTTTAACTCGCAGCCTACTTACCTTAATTTCATTCATTGTCTACATAGTTAGGCCTGGACACGTTTCCAGTGATTAATACGTGAAATTTTATACTAATCATAACTGAATACGTCAGTCAAACATGTCTGTCACTGTAAGACCGAGTGAAGAAATTAGTTTGGCTGAATACTACTTAAGTAAATTGCAATCTAATATATATACAAACTCATAAAGTATACAGGTTCTGTTTGCTTTAGTGAATAGGAATTACTTACTCGTCGGAAACTTTGATCACCTCTTCATTTCTATAGCTTTTTACATTTTTTTGCCGTGTGAGTTCGTATCAACAACTAGAGATCAGAAATTGGATTTTAATGTTTGAAAAATTCACAAGTTCTAGGAACACATAAGAAACTAACAACATTATCGCACCTTCTATTTTCTGTATGTTACGAAAATCATATTGTTATCTGTATCTTTTCTGAAATAAAAATATCTTTAGAACTGTGCGCAATGTTTACCGCTGATGTTTATTTCGTGCAATTCGCGAATCTTAGCACAAAGGTTATACGTGATTTTTTCAGTCGAACAATGTGTTTGCTAACCATATTTTGGGCAATATTATCAATATGACTGGAAATAATTTGAAACCTAATAATGACGTTTCAGGTGATGTGTTCATTTCCTAACACATTATTCTCGGTTATGTTTTGCCGGAATATCTAGGAAGGTTATATGGGTGAGTCGGCTGTCAGTAAACGCGTCTAGTAGCTACACTACATAACCCTCATTCCTTTATGAAAGGTTCAATTCAGTAAACTTGAAAGTTGAATAGTGAGTATTTCAAAGAAGTAAGACATGTCTTATTCTAATGAAGTAAAGCGACTTTTGTCGGTGATTTGAGAAGTGTATACCAAACAGCTGCATAATACTTTGCAAATAAGATCATATCATCTTTATTTCCCAAACTACGGGTTAGGGTTACCATTTTGCTATATTTGGCATGAAGGCTTGGTTTCCACAGTGATTAGCTTTTCAGCTTTTGAGAACACGTGTGTGTGTGTGTGTGTAGGTGATGCAACTACTGATTCTGACCAAAATGCTGATTTCCGTCGGCAGTAAATGAAAACTGTCGGTTACGCTGAACAAAATTATGGTTGCCAGTTACTCTTTGGGAAGCAGCAATTCACCAAAGCAAGAAGAGATGAAAAATACAACCCAAATTTACTATTATTTCACATTCCCAAGGAGTTATAGTCGTTAACTTTGATTATGCAAGATATAAAATTCTCAAATTGCACACATTTTTAAAATAAAAGGTAAGGTAAATGTTTAACATTCACTTGCGTTCAATATTACTACACCCCATTTTGACTTAGGACCAAATCATCCTCAGACATTCCATCAAGACATAACCGTACAGCTTTTCATACTGCTGAATACATTAAAGTGGTTGCCACACTGTTTTACTTCTTACGCTTGTTATCCACATCATTACTTCTTAGGTCCCAAAAGGTATGAAATTAAAGAAAAAGTGCGCAGAAAGTATAAAGGTATCTAAGCGCCTATTGTCTGAGGTAAGATTAAAGTGAATAACCGTTCTGTGAAAATAAAGTATAATACTGTTTCTCAGCTAGGGAAAAAAGTGTCTTTATACAGTCACAACAGTGTTTTGTCCGTCATAAATTGTATCTGACTAATATCTCTATGATAGCATAAAACTACAGACAAATAGTCATATTACAGCAACCTGCATTTGCAGTATTATCACCTTGAAGCTGGTCCTAATTATTCTGTACTTCATTGTAACCATCCTAGAAAAAACTATGCCATTTGCTACGGCGTTGACGTTGAATGTGATTAACATAGTTATTATTATCTTTATTATTATCATTATTGTTATTATGACAACTGGTATCCATAAAGGTTATCACTAATTTTGAGCCGCTTTTTATAGATTTTATTGTTCTCTATATAGAAGATAATATGTCTAGACAGAAGAAAAACCAGGTTTTGCCAAAACTTAATGGCATTCTTCTATTAGTTACCTGAATAAAGAAAACCCTTTGATGTACAAACAAATCTACCATTTTTGGTTGTATTGTGTTCTCTGAGCTCAAAATAACCCAGCTCAGAGAACACAATACAACCAAGACCATCCACCTGAGCTACAAATATTCCCCATCATTTCAAAATCTACCGTTCATTTCTTGATAGGTTTTCATTGAGATGAAAATTTCTCATGTCACTGAAATCCAATAAATAATGAGTGAAATACCTGATTTGGTTAAGTTTCAGTGCATAAATGTATGCACGTAAAAAGTGATAGAATGCAATATGAGATGACCCCCCTTGCCGACAACACAACACGTCAAATCAGTTAAGATGATTTCTTTTCATTTGCATTGATGATTGTGAGGCCCGTAGAACATGAGAAAAAACAATTTACTGTTTATTGAAGGATGTACAATTCTTCCAGCTTTTTATGAACAATTTGACTGTTTTTCGAGATTCATTGATACAGTCAATAATCAATACAATGAATGTAACTGGGGGATGGGGGAGGGGAGTTTTTAGATGGAGTACAATAAGCTTCACTTTTTAATAGCAATAGAAATGAAAGTGTTCAGGTCCTTCTGTCGAGTTTCGCTATAAAATGGCCATCAGATACACACATGAATAAATATTTTGTTTTCAGTGCTATTCGTTTTCTACTGACAGCTAATAGCTTCTCCCCTATAAATAAATTTATCAGCACTGTAAGTTTAATACTTGTTTTCTCCAGTCTAGAAAAAACTACTGTGTGCAAATGCTGAAAATATTTTCTATGTATGCTTAGTTGTCACGTAAAAAGCTATAAGTTTCGCAGTTTTTCCAATAATTTATTTTATATATATACATGTATGAACATAAGTTGTACATAATATTCAACAATATATTTTTTTTAATAAGAATAATAGCTTTATTCAAAACAATATATTTGATACAATATGGAACCTCAGCATGTAGTAAACTATCAAATTTACTCCCTAAACAAAATTTTCAAACAAAATGATTATGGCGTCTGAATGATGTTCATAATAACAACATCAAAGGTAATAATGTGAAACAGCCGGTTTGTACTGGATTAGCGTTCGGTGTTTAATGGTGGTGGTTCATTCAGCTAGTAAAAGAATGTAATATTCAAGATAGGTATCTGAAGAGTAGAAATATGATGTATTCATATGTATTCAAAAATCCATTTCCGTCTAATATGACATTTTTTTTCCTTCGTTTTGTTATTACTTCGAAAAACGATTAGTGTACAACATTTTAAAAATCCCCAACAGTATGTGATTAGTTTCGAGAACATATTTAAGAGAATAAAACAAACTGGAATGGAGGCATATGATGTAATATGTTTGAAGGAAAATTTCATTGGTAGCCCAAAGTTCAAACGGGCTAAGCAGGAAAACAAAAAGGGGAAATTCTACTGGATCTTTTTTATGATTTTTCTAAGAGGTGTTGATAAACACAATGAAAATTTATTGACTTTACATCAGCTTTTCGCTTCTTCCTTCTTTGAAGTAGTATAAATGCTATTTCGTTTGTTCATAGTAACCTTAGCTAGACTTCAGCTGATAACTAGAGTTATTTAGCTTTCTCACTTGAATTACAATGCTAATCTGTCAACCGGATGAAAACGCTGACTTCAACACCTTAGTAAAATATGTTGATGAAACAGAAATGCATATGGTTAGCTTCACCGTAATAGCTACCGAGACTACATATCTGGGGTTAGTCAAAGCTGAATAAAATACTACATAAAGTGCAATGCAACCATTACGCTAATGCATTCAAATCACTAGGATTTTAACCAATGTATAGAAATTATTTCTGTACAAGGAACATTTTATTGTTACTATGATGCATTTTTGCTGCATAAAAACTAACAAATTAGTCATCGGTTAAACTGAAAGAATAATTTATAAATCAAAAAGGCAGAACGGAAAAACAGAACTTTGATATTATATGGCAACAAAAAAAACAAACCAACGTGAATCGACATGAATATATTGGTTCAGTAGATCAAAGAGAGCCGAAAGTCCACGTGATTCTGATAGGGGAAAAAAAGAAGGAATGGAAAACAAAGTGAGGTGATTAATGACAAGTCGATTCTTGAAAAAAGCAGTAAACTGTTAAGGCATAAAATTAATATTCATAATCACAGGTCTAATAAATATCTATATTTGGTTAATAGTTAGTCAGGTAAAGTACCGACTAAATGTCTTATAGAGTTTCGCTTCAAATCCTACCACTACACAAGCTTTTTCCACTTTCAATTAAAATTATGTAAATAAATATACACGTCAACCAAGGTTTTTCTTAGGCAGTCCATTTACCAGTAGTAATAGACTACCAAAAGTGTTTAGTGGCTGATTCTCTAAAAACTGTTTAATTTACTTAGTAATGCATAGCCATTACTGATTCATATGTTGATAATTAGGAATACTTGTTCTTGTCCTGTTTATGACATCTTACAGTCAGTAGTCGAATGAGTATAATGAACATTTATAACATATTAATTTCCTTTTCAACATTTTCATGCTTT